ATAGAATATAATAGCATTGCAATGGGCAATAATATTGCTGATATCAAAGGGTTAAGTATTGGTGTCGTCATGCACTAAGGGGGGTCTCAGTAACGTGAGTCGAAACGTTTCTAAAAAAAATCGTAAGGTTTATTAATTGTTCAAAACGCCTCTGTTAAGTCTTGGTAACGGGGCCTTGTTAACCGGGGAGAAAAAAAAAATGGGAGGTGGTGGGGTGTGTGAATACTCCAGCAGCCTTAAGCAAGTGGTGAAAAAATAATGTTAACAAGAGCGTTTGCCAGTCTGAGCCCCCCGGGAGAAGCTTCTCCGTAGCACGACCCTGCTTGGCAGTTCTGTGTCATGATTATTGCATTGTTTTTTTTACCGTTCATTTGATTTAACAAATTTAACAATTTAAGCGTCTCAGTATGTATTAACACATATGTCACCAAGCCCTTCCATAATCCAGGCTCGGAGTTCGCAGGTCGAAATCTGCACACCCCTTTCTGTTCATAAGACTCCCTTTTTGGAATTCAGCCCTCACCCCCCCCCCCCCCCTCCCGCAAAAAAAAGGGGGGAAAGCTGATGTATCAGACAGATGTTAAAATGACATCGGTTGAATCGAGTTTCTGTCATCGTGGCCATGTGAGATAAACAGTGTACTTAACATCGGAGAGGACAGCTTATAAGACGGTAGCAAACTAGAACTGTGCACAACAAAAGTGTTATCCAGTGGGATACAAAAAACATGTAAGTGGGTGGGGCAGATAGGTGGTGTCGTTTGATCTCAAAGATATTTATACTTCACGTCATGCTTTCATCTCTCACTCATGACCCCTTACACTCTCTCTTTCTTTCACACACCCTTTGCAACCCCCTCCCCTCACCCCCGGGTCGGGTCTAAGTCTAAATAGAAATTCTCCATCACCGTGATGACGCAATTTTCTTAGTTCATCATCTATAGAAATCATCACATGATCAGTTTCAATAGGTAGACTACGTGGCACACTCAGCCATGTATGAAGCGTCCATGACGAGGACAGTAGTCAGTGGAGAGATGTGTATATTAACATAGCAGCTGATGCAATGAGCATATTGATGAATCAAGCGAAACACAATGAGAATATTGATAAATCAAGTAAAACACAATGAGCTCATTGATAAATCAGGTAAAACAATGAGAATATTGATGAATCAAACAAAACACAATGAGAATATTGATAAATCAGGTAAAACAATGAGAATATTGATGAATCAAGCAAAACATAATGAGAACATTGATAAATCAGGTAAAACAATGAGAATATTGATGAATTAAGCAAAACACAATGAGAATATTGATGAATAACACAATGAGAGTATTGATAAATCAAGCAAAACACAATGAGAATGTTGATGATGATGAATCATGCAAAACACAATGAGTTTATTGATGAATCAAGCGAAACATTATGAGAATATTGACAATCAAGCCAAAACAATGAGTTTATTGGTGATCAAACGCCAATTAAGGATCATTTTCAAATATGCAAATTAAAGGTATAAAGACCCTTTCACAGGGAGATACGACTCGACCATTTGACCGAGCAAGATAGTCCCAGGGGAAGAGTAGACATATCCTTTAAATTCAAAGCATCCCATAATGATTTGTAAATATGAGGAGAGAAAAATCTCTAAATCTAAGCAGTAATGAAACGTTTAAAAATTCGATACTTATTTTTTTTTTACAGTGGCTATTTTAAGTATAACACCCCCCCCCCCCCTTTTTTTTCCAAAAAAATCTTTTTTTTTTTAAAAATCGCATTACTATCAAAGCAATGAACAAGCTAAATTTATATTTATAAATTAAAATTAAATGTATATATTTTCAAACTCATAAGCTAAAAATAACAATAGGCCTACCCTTTTACTCTTTAAACAAAAATTAAAACCAAAACGAAAGAAGCCTAAGGCATTAACAGTTACGACCAAAGCAGTTTTGTGTCAGCAGCTGTGTAATATGCCAAGAAAGCGTATTGATAGCGAACTTTGACCAGCTGTTCAAAAATGAAACAAAAATTAGTGTTTTTTTTCCTTGCTTTTCTTTAAAGTGGGAATCCGTACACAAAGGCATGTGAATTTCCGTCTGAAACTTAAATCAATGGAATTAGGTATCCATATCTACAAATAAAGGCTCTTCGCTACATTTGATTACCGTGCAACTGATAATGTGCGAGCTTGGCAGGTTTTATGGCACTAAGTGTGACTAAGAAAAATTAAATAGCTTGGTGGTGGGGACATAAGGGGATTTCAAAATAAATACCGGTGCTTAAAAGTTACCTTCAATTAACAAAGATGAAGAGTGATTTTCCCCGAGGATACACGTCTGCTCTTTTCTGTTCATAGAATCTGCCTGTTGACTAAAGCGCCCCCACTGCAGCAAAAAAAAAAAAAAAAAAAAAAAAAATGTGGATTACAGAGTCTAAAGCTTGCCATCAAATTGTGATGTTTGAAAGACTAAAACTAAAACCTGCCATCAAATTGTGGAGTTTGAAAGACTAAAACTGAAACCTGCCATCAAATTGTGAAGTTTGAAAGACTAAAACTAAAACCTGCCATCAAATTTATGAGTTTGAAAGAGTAAAACTGAAACCTGCTATCAAATTGTGGAGTTTGAAAGACTTAACTGCCCGCCCACCTTGTCCTCTCCGTTTCCCCCGTTTGTACGGTCCGGACACCCCCACCCACCTTTCAAAAAAAAAAAAATAAACATCACTATTAAAGCAAGACCGTTGGTGGAGAATGGGGGAACCGCGCCACGTATGCAGGCGTGTCATTTCCGTTCTACTTTTGAGATTGTAGGATCATGTGGACCTATATCAATATATTTTTTTTTTTAAATATGCAATGAATAAATTTACAAAGCCTACTTTCATTTGACCGTTGAAGATAGATTTCAGCATATTTTTTATAGGCTAAATTTAAAGTAGCTGTTTTCATGTACCCGATATTAACTGATTCTTCTCGTTGCTGATTTTTAAGATTGGGTTCAATAGTTTTTTTTTGTTTTTGAAATATTTGTTAATATTTTTTAAATGAAGAAAAGCTGTAGTTTGTTATACAAGCTCTACGAAACAAAATAAACAGTTTGGTGTGTAAACTTGCGCAGCAATTTGTTTGTCAGACATGAGCAGGACATGTAAAAAACAAATTGTTCAATTATAATCCTTCCGGGAATTTTGGAATACGTGATGAGTAACGTAACAAAAAATGTGACGAAAACGTGA